TGGTCACTCATGGTTGGGCTGGGAGTCTCATATTCAGGCTTAACTGAGGTGTTTTTCTGTGAAAAGGGTGTAAAAACCAGTGCCGAGGTGTGCCAAAATACCGTCCTAACAAACATAGTGGAACATTTTTCTCAAACAATATTCAAAAACAAACATGGATATTATTTATTTGACACAGGGCACGAAGCACGCAAAACTGGTTGACCGCCCATGGAATTGACTTTATCGGAAATAAAGACTGACCCTCTTCTGGTCCAGATTTAAGCCCACTGGATTATAAGATATGGCAATATTTGGAGGAGAAAGTCTGCGCTAAACCTCATCAGAATTTGGAATCTCCGAGCATCTGTGGCTAAAGCAGCCACAGAAATAGATATGAGTGAGGTGTGTGCTGCGATTGATGATTGGCCGCGTCGATTAAGGGCATGTAATCAAAATAGGGGAGGGCATTTTGAATAACGTAAATAAATTGTATTCCAAATCAAATTACCTTTCATTTCAAATATAATTATCAAATAGTGTATCATTAATTTTATAAAAAGTTTTTGACAGAACTTATGATCTAAGTATTACTATGATACCTAAATAGAATGGACGTTACGGGTAGGCCTTTTCGTTGTCACACTGTTTTTTTTTTTTTTTGTTAGGGGTTTTAGATTCATGGGGTGGGGAATGGTCTGTTTGCTCTTATCTCTATTATTAGTTTCGTGGACTTTCACTTCTGCTGTCAGCGCTAAAATGGTGAAAATCAAATCGCTTCATTTTGTCACGGCGTATAGCCAGTCCGTATATAGAGGTCAGTGTTGTGTAATGACCTTAGATAATTGAAAATTTTATAATGGTATATTTGTGATCACTTTGTGAATTTGCACTATTACCAATAAAGGGATAATTCGAATTATAACTCGGGTATTTGGTCCTCACTAGAATTCGAGTTCCCATACCTTCATCGAAAGTACATGTTACAAATACGCCTGTACACACTCGAAATGTCGGAAATTTAAAATTAACCTAAACAAATTAAATTAAACCGTAGATGAAATTAGTTTTATTCAATAAAAGATATTTGTCTGCAATTTTTGATTATTCTTTATTTAACACTGCCTAACGAAGTCGTCTTTTTAACCGAATTCAGAAAAGTGGAGGTACTCAATTGGACTGTATTTGACTGTACTGTGTGTTACCTCGGAACTTTTAACCGACTTTTCAGAAAAGTGGAGGTACTCAATTGGACTGTATTTGACTGTACTGTGTGTTACCTCGGAACTTTTAACCGACTTCAGAAAAGTGGAGGTACTCAATTGGACTGTATTTGACTGTACTGTGTGTTACCTCGGAATCCATTTTTAACCGACTTCAGAAAAGTGGAGGTACTCAATTGGACTGTATTTGACTGTACTGTGTGTTACCTCGGAACTTTTTAACCGACTTCAGAAAAGTGGAGGTACTCAATTGGACTGCATTTGACTGTACTGTGTGTTACCTCGGAACTTTTTAACCGACTTCAGAAAAGTGGAGGTACTCAATTGGACTGTATTTGACTGTACTGTGTGTTACTTCAGAACTTTTTCTAGATGAACTGATTTTGATGATTATTTTTATTTGAAAGCTGGTGCTTCTCATGTGGTCCCATATAAATTTTATCAAGATCTGACCTGTATTTTTTGAGTTATCCTTAATAATGCGTATTTAATTGACTTCCACTACATTGATGATGTTGTTATTTTATTAATATTGAGGTCGGTTTTATAACATTTTTAATTTTACCACTACAGTTTACTTTAATCAATTGTAAAGAACATTTTTTTTAAATAATAAGCCGAAAGAACAGACTCGGCTCTTCGCCGTGTGGTAGCAGCGTAAAATATACCATCCCCTAGTTTTGTACCATGACCATGAGGCAAATAAGCAAGGAAATGGCCCCGAGCTCCCGGCGCCGCTTTAATGGGGCAGGGGTGAGAAGAATCTCCGCGGAAGGAAAACCGGCGACGAGGTTCGCCACCCGTCACCTTCTGTTTTCCGGAGGGGCGAAAAGAGGATTGCGGAAGCCGTCTAGCTACGCTGAATGTGGAGCAATGAATGATAAGATGAATGAAGTATGCGATATGATGTATAAGAGAGAAAAAGATGTGTCATGTGTAAATGAGACGAAGCGGAAGGGAAAGGATGTCACTACACGTGGCATGTATACCGCGTACTGGTCTGGTGTAGATGAGACCGAGCGGGCATGCCAGGGAGTCTGTATCATCCTTTCAGAAAGAATGGGTCAATGAGTGAAAGAGTATGAATGTGTTAACCCGAGATTGCTATGGATACGAATGAAAGTGAGCCTAAAGAAGTTGTTTGTTCTAGGGGTCTACGCTCCAGAGATTTCTAAGCCCACTGATATCCGAGAGCAGTTTTGGGAGATGGTAAGGATGGTGTTAATGCAATGTAAGGGAAATGAAAATATTGTTATGTTAGGAAATTTTAATGGAAGGGTTGTGGTGAAGAGGCTTGGCTATGAAAGGATATTGGGAATGTATAGTAATGAAAGTATTAATGAGTAAGGTGAAAGCCTCCTCACCGTATGTGTGGAAAAGAATATTTTTGTAACGAACACTTTGTGGGAAAGAGGTGATGATAGACGCATGATATATTTCATAACTGTGGATGAAGTAATGAGGAGCGCAGTGGTGGATACAAGGGTGTACAGGGGTTCAACGTAGTGACTGATCATTACTTGGTCTTATGCCGACTTTATTCAGACGTTGGTGGCATTGGACATTTGTGTCTACCACTGCATTATAGCGTATAAAAACACGATGGTTACAAGATGAAGATGTGAAAGACAAGTACAAATGTAGACTGAAGGAAAATATAAGTGTTCTGGATGAATTGTGTATAAATGAGTTAGACTTGGAGAATGTGTGACATAATCTTAAAAAGGTTTGGTAGGTGCAGCTACCGAAGTATTTGGTGTTTGTAAGAGAACCAATGAAAGGAAAGATAATACGTTATGGTGTGACGATGAGGTACGTATGGAAGTTGAAGCAAAGAAGAGAGCATTTTATTTTTATTTTATAGGATAGGGTGACAAACGACCTATTTATGGACAGTTGTTTGGAAAATTTTAAAGTTGAAGAATGCGGGTTAAGAATGGGTGAGTTAACTATCAAATGCCTTTTGTACGCCGATGATCAAGTCATATTTTCGTCGTCGGCAGCCGAGTTGCAAATGATGGTTACATTAATAAACAGGTCATTAAAAGAAGGGAATGAAAGTGAATGCAACTAAGACGAAAGTTAAGGCTTTTGAAAGAGAAGAAACTAAAACGATATGTGAAATAACAATAGAAGACAAGGAAGTTGGTCGAGCAAGTAGATGAGTGTTTATTGTGTATGTGATATTTGGGATGTGTATTCAGCAGAGATGGGAGATATGATAAGGATATATAACGAAGAGTGAACGCAGGAAATAAAGTAAATGGGGCTCTACACTCTATTGTGAAAAGTCAGAAGGTGTTAAAAAAAGGCCACGTATGGCAATTCACAATGCTGCGTTAGTCCCTAAATTAACGCATGTTAGTGAAAGTTGAGTGTGGCAGAAGAAGCACGTGAGTAGAATAAATGCAGTAGAAATGCGGTCGCTAAGAAGTACGTTAGGGCTGAATTTGAATGACAGGGTGAGAAATTGTGTAATAAAAGAAGAGTGTGATTTAGAAGACGATGCTGTGACTAGAGATGGGCCGAATATTCGTTTTATATTCGGTATTCGGCATATTCGGCAGCTTTACCGAATATTCGTATTCGGCCGAATATTCGGCTAAATCACCGAACATTCGTTTTCATAGTGTCCAATGTATTGAAATGTACGAATTGAGTATCATGCCATGTCTTTTAGTGTTGAAAGTATATTTTATTTGTGGGTTAAATCTGCTTACTCTAGAGTGCCTCAAATGCATAAATCTATACATTTATGTTTTTGAGGCACTGTGGATTTATTTCCGATTATAGCAAATAGAAACTTAATAAAATGTTTTTGGAATCAAACAAAGAAACATTACATTACATTAGTACATTTCACTTTAATTTGGTCGTCAGTTTCTCTTAAATAAGTCCAAATGGTAAATCTCCTGCCGACAATTTTTATCGTATAATTATCAATTTTCACTGAGAATAAAACAACGAAATACTTTTCTTATCACAAGAATAGTCAAAACATAAGTAGGTATGTGCCGGCAATTTTCTCAGTACTAGATGATGCAATAACCGTCAGGTGTGGCGGGGAGCGAGAGGCAGGTTCCGGCGCTAATCCCGCGCGCTTTGCGGTAACAAGTTTCGACATAAATTGGTTAGGTACCGAGGTTATCCTGCCGAATAATGTTCGGCCGAATATTCGGTTCGATTAAAGTTTTACCGAACATTCGGCCGAATATTCGTATTCGGTGAAATCCATATTCGGCCTATCCCAAGCTGTGACCAGGATTAAAAAAGGAATGCTTCGGTGGTTTGGTCATGTAGTAAGAATGAATGTCTAAAGTGTGACAAAGCAAATTTATGTTGCAGAAGTGAATGGAAAAATCGGAAAGGGACGTCCTAGGCGACCTAGGACCTAGGTCCTAGGTAAGTTTAGCGACCAAATTGGCGATATATTGAAAATGGGCCAAATTAAGAGTGTCCTTAACTGACAAGCATGTATGCGTAGGTATATGGATGTGGAGGGTGCGTCAGGATCGTGCCGAATGGAGCACATCAGTAGCACAGTCAGCAGTCTCTGGGTGACAGGCGTGATTTTTTATGTGTTTTATGTACTTATGTATTTTTAGATACTATTTTTGTACATTTCAAATCATTTGCTTCGTTGTATTTTAAGTATAGACTGATTTATGTTCAATGTCAGTATAAGAACGAATTAATAATGTTTATTCTAAGAAATGAAATTGTCAAATCTTTATCCAATATTAAACGCAGTCTCGAACGAGCGCTTTATTTTCTATCTAAATTGCACATGTCTTGCAGAAATGGAAGTCGAAGAAGACGAGTATGCACATCTGTCTGTAACCACACCGCGAGCTGCAGG